ACAACAGCATTCTTTCTTGTGTTTATTTCTATGTATTTTAATACGTACAAATTTTAATAACTTCTGACCATTACATCAAAGTCAGACTGATGTTTCTGGTCCCCTAACGGGACTGCTACTGCCCTGGTCGTGTCCCCAAACCACCTCTTCTCCCTTCAAACGAGAATGATTTTTTTCTTCACCCCACCCTTTCTTCCTCTCTATATGTCTTACCTCATTACCTCTCAGGTCACTAACTGCTGTGGCCTGTGGTCACCAACAGAGGGACGACCAGCTGATGAGAATAGAGGGAGACAATACTGCTGATGTCACCCACACTCCCACACTGGCCCACAGCCTGCACTAATAACATAATGAGATCCTTGTTACCTTGCTGTGCCTTTGAAGCATAACGTGCTCTTGGCCCCCTTTGCACTAGAAGAAATGAGGGAGTTTTTTTAAGACGGAAGAAGAAAGAGTTTGAGAGAAAAGCAAGTCTTTTTTTGGAGAGATAAGCAGTGAACATGCGGATGGTGTACGTGTATGTGTGGGGGCTGTTAGGGGCAGTAATGGAGTCCCACTGGGGTGCAGCGGGAAAGACAGTAGAAGAATGGGGCTATGTGACTCATCGTGGCTGTGTCTGTGTGAGTGGGAGGAGAACAGTGTGTGGGAAGAGGTTTCATCGCCTGGCTGGTCAGAGCCAGATGAGAAAGAGAGAGAGCAGAGAAAAGAAAGAGAGCGACGGGGAAAGTAAACTAAAGCGTAGAGTCTTCCACTAAATGATGCATGATTATAAAACATGCAGCTGTAGGATGAATGGAAATGTAGAAGTGTGTCAGACAGAAACACCTCCTCATTTAGTAAAGCTGTCCTGAATGTCTTTGAAGAGGTGTGAGTATGAATTATGTCTTCATCGAGGAGACCTTTCCCCTCAAATTCATTATTGAGGGAATGATTATTCATATCTAGGGCAACTTACTGTCATGGATGTAACAGATTGCGTGTGCACTAAAATGTTTTTTTTTTTGTTTTTTTTTTACAGCTGAATGCTAAAAATCGGTTCTGCAAAACACGCTATAACATACTTTGATATACGGGCACATTTATTATGTCAGACAAAGTCCTGGTGAAATTATACTTTTTTTTTTCCCCTCCAAAAAAACGTTTCAACAGAATGTTCCCAGAGCCAAGTAAATCCTAAAAGACCACATAGATTCCTGGCCACTGAACAAAAAACACAAAGTCTTTTTGCTTAACTACACAGTCCTCTCCACAGAATCCTTTTTACACAATTGCTCTCCTCTTCACTGGGTTCACCTCATTTCAATGTCAATATTAAGTTCACATATATTTGATTTGCTGAAAACGGCATTTTAACACTCGGCTGGTATACGTTAAAAACCATCCTGAAGCATTTTCCCACATATAATGATTCTAAACTATATTTTATAGTTTAAAACAGTACAGTTCATTCATATTATATGGTAAATTATACTTCATTTACAAAACATTTAACAGTACAAACTACACATATTATCATGTGAAATTCAATATAATTTGCTTTTCCTCTCTTGGTACTTTGAAAAACTATGTGACCCAGCTATAACATTTTTAAATGTTTTAAATATTTATTGTGACATTTTGTTTAAAATCAAACAGATCCTCAACAGACTTATACTACCATTCAAACGTTTAGGGTCAGTAACATTTTTAAAAATAATATTTATATATAATTTTATTCGGCAAGGAGGAATTAAACTGATCAAAAGTGACAGTACAGACATTTATAATGTTGCAAAAATAAATACTGTTCTTTTGAAATATTAAGCAGCACAACTGTTTTTATTATATATATATATATATATATATATATATATTGTAACGGGGTGAAGAATCACACGACAAGAAATCTCAATCAATACCCCGGAGGGGGGATTTATTGGGGTGATGGGTGATAGTGAGAAAGGTCCAGGTAGGTGCTCCGGTGCCGTGAGTGCTCTCTTCCGTCTTCCCAGTGCAGAGGGTCAGTGCAGTGCTCCTGTGGGGCTGGTCGGTCACACGCTGCTTTCTGTGGGAAAAATGAGAGGGCGAGTTAGTGCTCAGTCTCATGGAGGAATCTCCTAGATGGCAGGGCTTGCGTGGCTTATGTAGCCGCCGCCTGATGAGGTGATGGAGCCCCCTCCAGCAGCCAGTGCTGCGCGAGTCGTGTGAGTTCGGCGGCCTGGGCACGGGTCGGCAGACGGGGCTTATACTCCCACTCGTGGAAGTGCTGGGCGGCACAGATTGGGGATAACCCCAGGCGGGCTAGGATTTCCTTCTTGACCTCCTTATATTGATCGGCGGAGGCGGCGGGAAGCGCGAAGTATGCACGCTGCACTTCACCCGTCAGCAGGGGAGCCAGCACCCGTGCCCAGTCATCCATATGCCATCCTTCCATGGTGGCCGTCGCTTCGAACATTTGTAAGAAGGCTTCTACGTCATCATGAGGGGTCAGCTTGGGTAGCAGCTTCGCAGCTTGTACTCGGGGGTCCGGCAGCAGAACGCGTTGAGCGGCGGCGGCACTCTCCAGGGTAACGGGGTGAAGAATCACACGACAAGGAAATCGTAATAAATGGATTTATTGGTGAGGTGGGTGTTAGGGAGAAAGGTCCAGGTAGGTGCTCCGGTGCCGTGAGTGCTCTCTTCCGTCTTCCCAGTGCAGAGGGTCCGTGCAGTGCTCCTGTGGGGCTGGTTTCGGGACGCTCGACACAATATATATATATATATATATATATATTTAATTGAAATAATATTTCACAATGTTACAGCTTTTGCTGTATTTTTTATTAAATAAATGCATCCTTGGTGAGAATTAGTAAGCATTTAATGTAAGGTGAAAGTAAAGTAGACTGACTAGATAGTACCTGAAAACTGTCTAGGAGGAACTAAAACACAATGACACAAAGAGAAACTCAGTGTTTAGCGTGGAAAGTACTAAGGAATTATGACTGTCTTTTTTCCCCAGCAATGAAATAGCCCTGCCTTGATATTGGGTCATATTTGGGCACAAAACCTGTGTGATCCCTAGTCTTTTTGTGTGTTTGGAAACAAAGGGATGAGTGTGCAGTTAGGAAAACCTTTGTTTGAAATTGTGCAATCATGCAGACAACCAAACAAGCCCACGGTCGAATCTTCCTCCCTCCCACAGTGCATCACAGAACTGAATTGTTACAAGCCTCATTGTGTCCCCAATATATTCGATGATCACTTTTTCTTTGATGCCACATTAAACAAAGGGCTTTCAACTCAGAGTCTAAGAACACTTCAATTATGTGAATGAGATTAACGACTGAGGATCAAACATCATGTATAAGCGCATGATATTTTGTCACTTAAAACCCCAATATTAAAAGCTATATTAAACTATAATAATACAAATTGAAATATAATATTATATAATACTATTTAAAGCTGCAGTCCGTAAGTTTTGTCTCTTTGTCGCCATCTTTGTTTGAAAACCTGGAATGGCAGCTGTGTGCGGAATTATCTAGCTTGCGTGGGTTGTGAGTCGGCACTAAAGTAAGGCGATAGTTTTAAACACTGGCTGGTTATGTTCTTGCTCAAATATTGATTTTGGATCGTTTTTAACCAGCAAAAGTTACGTACTGCAGCTTTAAATATAAAAATAATATAAATATTAAACATTTTCCATCTGACAATATATCCTCAATCTGCCTCATTTTTACTAGAATTCATACTGTATTCCATTTTTTAACTCTGGCCAACACCCAAGAGGCTGGAGAGATGATTGAAACCACATGTTGCTCTCAGCTCAACCTCACATGACCCCCCTCTCCTCTGTACCTGAGAGAGAGAATGGGCCGTCCTGCACAAAGCGATACTCTCGGCTTAATCTGGCCTGAGGTCAGATGGGAGTACTTCACTGCGGCCAAGAACTGTTTGTTTATCAATCTACCTACATGTTATCCCACATTCCCGCTAATGATCCAGCCTCTTTCTGGAATGTGTGGAATCCTTATCCGCTTACTGTGCTATGCCAGTTTCGAGCTGAGACTCTCGTGACTGATTCAAAGTGTGATAAAAGAGAGCATTTGCAACATCTGTTTGGCCTGCTGTAGTCAAACAGCTTTATTAGAGGCACAAAAAAGTATATATATACCTAAATGCCAATTGCAGCCCTTTAGCCCTAAATCACAAAGCTTACCACTATGAAAAAATAAATAGGAATATTTAAGTGACAGACACTTACTGTAACACCAGAGGCATCATAATAAAAGGTAAATGCCTTTGATCTAAAATTTCTTATTTTTGTTAGATGCATCTGGCATGACAGTGATATCTATTGTTACTTATATGTTTTCTTATTCTGGCTGTTGTGAGACATCATTAAAATGTGACAGAACACATCCACAGTACTGATAAATCAGCTGGGGTTGTGAAAGTCTGACTCATTGTTTAACTTGAGAACAGTGGCACAAACTTTGGTAAACATTTTCTAAGTCTCAAATCCATGCAAAAGATCAAGCCATTAGAGACAGCAGTGAGGACCCATTTAGTAAGATTTTTGTTTTTATTCTGAAAGAAAGAACCTATTCATGTGCCTTAATCCAATAAATCAAAACTTGGATAATGTAAATGAGTGTAATAGATGAGCAAGTTCCAATGGGTCAGTTTTCTCTTGTACAAAATAAGTAACTCATAAAACTCACAGAAAGTTGCAAGTTAATTTGTAAGGTAGTGTCAGTAATGTTAGTTTATTAGGTGAAACTATTATATCCTAAAGCCATTGTTAATGTAAAGCAGGGCATTTAGGCAGCTGGTCCATGTACAAAAAAACAAAATGTACCATTTAGAAAAATATCAGCAGTGGTTAGTAAAGCTGAACAAACTGTAACACTGCTTCATGGAACATTTTGCTTAGTATAGAACGTACTGAAATCAAGTGGTACGGCCCTAAATAATGACAGTTAATCATTATTTGTTTTGAGAGCCATTAGAGTTTACACCGAAACAAACCTCACCCAGCAGAGCCTGAAAAAGATGACTGCCAAAGATGGAAGAGACCTTTTCCACGCTGGTCTTCAGGGCCTGTTCTTCTGGGCTGGTCAGACTTGACTGGTACTGTTTCAGTAGCCCAACTGCTCTTTTAGTATCTGAAATAAAAGAGAAGACCATCATTTCTATTTCAGTACAACTCCTACTCATTTTAATGCCTTCCCTCCATTATATTCTCCTTTTGACAGTCTGAAGGCATTTTTTAGATGTATGGCTAATTCTGAAAAGGCTTTGCACCATGCTAGACACTTGAAATCTGACATTACTTGCCTATAATTACAAGAACCCTTCGAAAGGGTGTGCAGCCAGATGTTCAACTCAACCAGGGCTGTCTAACAACAGTTTTTAAGCAAGCAGATAAAAAAAATGAATGATTTAGTCTTGTGTGGTAGCCTATGTGTTGTTTTGTGGGTTACTCTTGTGGAATAAAAGGGACCATACAGTGGCCTAAAAAATATTTAGACACTTAGGTCACATTTAAAATGCATTAGACAACAAATGATGCTACAGTTTTGTATTGTAGCATCACAGTTAACCGGTCATGTCTGTGCCCTTCAAGTTCACAGGTGTTCTAGAAGAGTAACTACAGGTTTAGTTCATCATATTAACTATGAATTTGCAAATGTATCTGTTGTATCCAATAAGCAATACAACAGCAGTAACAATGTGTGCAAGGTTTATTTAGACATTTGTTGTTAAAAGTTTTGGTTACACTTTATTTCGATAGTCCACTTTAGACATTCTACTAACTATAAGTAACTTTGTAACTACTGTTCCCGTCATCTGCCTTTGGCTCCAGCATTGGGAAGTTTTGAAGGGAAGCAAGTTAAACTGGAGGGCGGTCTGCAGTAACAGGGTCTCTTACTCATCCTTTCATCCACATGTAAATTGTGGATAAATTATAACAGAGCTTATTAACGAGCTTGTCTTCATGGGGGAATACATACATATTTATTGTAGAACGGCGAACGCTAATCATATGTGATGTATTAACTTGTGGCTAGAGTGCATTTACCAAATATCAATTAAAAAAATCTATAAAAATAACAATAAAAAAATATTTACATATCTATATAAACATTTTGGTCCAACTTTATATTAGGTGTCTTTTGAATACATGACTTCGTGTTGTATTGCAAAACACTTTTTCTGCTATTGACACTGGATACAGTTAAGGTTCAGGACGGGTTTGGTGGTATAGTTAGGTTTACGGGTGGGTTAAGCAGTAAGGTCAATAGTGTAATCATACAGTAGATGTAACTACAGAAACACAATATTTGCATTGTATCAAATGATTAAATTAAATGAAGTACATAGTAGACACTTAAAAAAGTGGGTCCAACATTTTAAAGTCTTTCTTACAAAAATGTCTTGCAAAGTGTCACATAAGTAAACAACCCCTGTAAAAAGTATTGTCATTTAAATGAAAAGTTGGCTCAAACAAATGGCTGAAATGACATAGCTTTGTCAAGGGTGGTAGCACTGCATGTAAAGGGGTGGCACACAACATGCTGCCCTAATGAGGAAATTTCATCAAATATATAAATTCTCATATCAAACAATGTCTTGTATATGCATTCTACAGCAAAAGCACAAATGTGAATTTACTGCATGACACATTTTATATGACGTGATTTTCTTATGATGCCCACATACAGTCCTTCAAAAAGTGAAACAAGGATATGTCCTCTCATGATAAAGATGGCATTATTCAGCGAGGAAGCAGGGGGACACTTCTCTCGCTTGTATTTTGATGAAAAACATGGTTCCTCCTCCTGTTCACAAACAAAGAGAAAAATGTCCATTATAATCTCACTCCATCAACGTTATTTGAGTGACTCTTTAACTAGTGGCACTTTTGACTACTTTTACTAAATGAATTCAGAATACATGTCATCTATCTTAAAACTATAGGTCCTGAAATAAATAATTAGTCATAGCCATGATCAACAATTCGAGTTGGATTGGATTTTTTTGGATTTTGTGTGGCCGTATGAATTTTGACATTATGTGAAATGAACGTTTTCAGTTCTTGGGAATTAATGTTGGATAAATCTAGCGTAGCGTTAGTTCTGGCAGGTCACGTTAGTCAAGCTCGCATCAGCTGACTCTCAGCTGATCCCCATCAACCTATGGGAATACGACACCTATTTAAGCATTCATATATAAGGTCCCTCAGTATTATCAGCAGTTTTCGCATTGCTCAATAGCTAATTACCCTCCTCCATCCCCAACTCCTCCTCTGTCAGTCAGGATTCAGCCTTCTGATTCTCCTTTGAATCAGACTAATTCTAAAATGTGTACATAACATTTGGGCGGAGGGGGGGGGCGGGCGGCGTTATCGCTGCTCTCCCTGCTCTCATCCATGCTAGGCTGGCATGGATGCGCAGGGAGTTCTTGCCCAGAACAGAACCATACCGCCAATCCAAACTGTATGCTAATTGTCAATCATCTTTGACGATAGTGGTCCTGACAGAACCTTTAGAATTGGTAACACCAGCTTGCTTGCAATAAATTTTACTTAGCCTACCATTTATAATACACAATAAATTTAGATTTATATTAAAAATAAATTGTCCCCACACGCATGCAAGATAATCAACATTAAATTTATAAAATATACAAAATATTATAATATTGTATACAAAATATACAACAATGTATAAAATAATAAATTGTTTCTGGTTTAACAATTTTAACACATTTTATAAATGTATTATAAATGGGAAAGTTAAAAAGAGAAATTCTGTTAAACACTGTTAATATTACAAAAATTATTACAAAATACAATTAAAAGTTTTAGATTATTAAAAATTTCCATAAGAAATTTATTTAATCAATTTAACAGCATTATACAGTATGTGCTGAGATTCATTGCTTACCTTTGCCAAAGAAACAGGCCAAACATCAACAGCAATGATATCACGTCAGCCGAGATCCATATTCCCATGTACATATTAGGCTCCTTTCATTGTTATGTGCAAAGAGAGATACACAAACACACAAAGGATTCCAGAGGAGTTACATATTCAGACAAGCCCACGTGAATTAGAAATGGAGAACATCTCATTTATGGCAGAATAGACATGGATAGGTGAAAAGATGGGCTGAGCTTTACCAGATGCCAGTCAGGCTTAGACATGCTTTTGAGGATGTGACAAGCATTGGTGGTCACTGAACTGGCCCCGGAGCACCACAGTAATGAGAAGAGCCAGCGCTCATTCACAACCCACAGATTCACGGACACATTATTTTTCCGCAACTCACTGTCGTGAAATAAAAAAAAAAGGTTCAAATAAAAAACAAACTCAAATCTTCCTTCTGTTTACTTGTTTTTGGCTCAGAGTCAGCGACCTTTAGACAGGTCGCAACAAGCCAGTTTTCTCTGCATAAAATACAGGAGTGGCAGGACCGTTTTAACATGCAGTCTTATTCATCAGTCAAGATTTTCTTGTTTAATTGTATTCTTTCTTCATTTTTGCTGTCAGGTAAAATTATAAAATGACAGGTGCACCCAACCGGACACAATAGTGTCTGGAAAAGGTTTCATTAATCATCATGTGTTGAATTTTGGTCACTCAGCATTCCTGCTACTATAATCATTAGAAGATACATTAGTTTAAGTTTAAACTACAGATCGGCACATCATTTTTCATAGCATTTCTGTCATCTTTGTAAGAAAATAGAACCCTGTGAGAACGTTCCCCAAGGCTGTTAGATCATACCAACATTAATGACAGCAGCATTGTGTCTCTGCATGTCAGATAAAAATACACCAATCCTCCTACACTTACCTTATTTCATGTGTGCTTAGAAAACTATATTTCATGTTCAGGAAGCTTCCACCATCCGCATACATTTCTTGTACATTATTATACACCTGCTTTAAGCCTGGTGTAACTTTTCTTACATCGTGTCTATATTCTGGAGGAAGCCACCATATCTGAAAGTGATACACAATATTAAAATTACATTTAATGATGCAAAAAAGATTTTTATAAAGACATCTAACATTAAGAAAAGCCATGCTTTTTTCTAGGGCATATAACATTGTAACATTAAACTCAAAAACACTTGAACAAAAATTTTATAATGTAACAAAAAAGGTAAATAGAAATATTACAAAAAACAATAATAATAATAAAAGTGAAAAAGTACATAAAACTTATGCTAAACTTGAAAAAAATGAAAACTGAAAATATAAAAATAAAAGCTAATTCAAAATATTAATACTACAATAGTATATACTGTAAATAATACTAAAATAACACTGCTAAAAACTAAATGTTTTAGGATTCTGACATTTAAAACAAAGGGGGACAAAAATGAAAAAGGGGCATACTAAGAAACTTCTGAAAATGTAATTCTATTAAATTTAAAGACTTTTGGTAAAATAACACTGCTAAAAACAAAATGTTTTAGGATTCTGACATTTAAAACAAAGGGGGACAAAAATGAAAAAGGGGCATACTAAGAAACTTCTGAAAATGTAATTCTATTAAATTTAAAGACTTTTGGATCCCACCATATAACAATATTACCTTGTCCGGTGAGATGCCTGATTTTTCTATCGTTTCAGCGGTGTAGTAGGAGTCGCTGTTGTGGAATCCTGTCGAGTTTTTCTCATTTTTTAGGTCAAATATGAGAGAGACATTATGCTTTTTGGCCATGACTAAGAGCTCCGAAAGAGACGGTACAGTCTGGTTGTTAGCCTCCCTCTTCTCTTCCTTTGAGAGCGATGAAACTGACTGAAATGGATCTGTCTGTATTTGAAAATCAAAAGATCTCATTTTAAACAAATTTGTCATTTTGACATCACAGTACTGAAGGACTAAGAACATCAAAATGCATCAAATTTGTTGGACTATATATATAAGCTATAGAGAATGGAAAACTTAAATTTAATAAACTATAAATAAATAAATACATAAAATAATTACAAACAAAATTCCAAAAATAATTCTTAGTCCTTACCCTTACAAACCATTCGCCTGCATTTAAAGTCTGTAACTCTTGCAAAGTGAAGTTAGCGTGCATGTCGGCATCTCGACCTAGAAATTTCTCCTTCACATCCGTTGTTCGTAGCAGAAAACTTGGACCATTGTCATGCATAAGAAAAGGCTTCATGTCCTTACTGAAAAAAATGATAGACAAGAGGATTATAATGTATGTGTGTGTGTGTGTGTGTGTGTGTCTCACACACAAATAGAAGCAATTGTCTAGTGTTTCGGCATAATCTCTGTTACCTGAGTTGCACATCTGTTTCAAATGCCACAACGCCACACTCCATACTCTTCCTGAATGACAACATGGTGTTTTCTGGTGCCAGCTAAATACATAATTAACATATTTTATAAAACAATTATATACATGTAGTACATAGTATATACACAAAATAAGATAAAAGTTGTGATTTTCTGTGCTATCACAGCATATGATTTCATTATTTTACTTATTAACAATATGTGTTCTTAATTATAAGTTCTGGGCTTGTTACCACAGGGGAAAAAAACTATATAATAAAAAAAAAAATCACTTTTTTGCCAGAGACCATTATTTTACTACATAAATATGTTCAGGGTTCCATATCTTATTTAAAGTCCAGTCAAGTCAGGTCACCTTTATTTGTATAGCGCTTTATACCATACTGGTTGAGAACAAAACAAAATTCAAAAGCTGTAACATCTGTGCTGTTCACACGCCTCTGCTGGGAGATCAAACATACAGAGCTGCAGATGTCAAAACACCTCCTTCACCCTCCCTGCCATTGGAATTTAACAGGTTGTATATGAATTGTAGACAGTCAGTTATTCAAATGGTATTTCTGGATGTTTTGTAAGGACTGTAAATGTTTTCACTGTGATTATTGTATCTATAAAATGCTAATGTTTGAAAAATCTGAGCAGACTGACATGCTAATGAATTACTTTCCCCCAAGTTGATAGCTTACAACCTGGGAACGATGCCATAATCATCATAATCCTAAACGGATTCAGAAGCTACATCAGATGATTCATCTTGTGGCATGTCAAATTTATTCTAATAAAATAACGTTAAAATCCTCATGCAATTCAGCAATAACGGGAACAAACAGCAAAATCAAGCTTTTGATGGGCACGCGTCAGTGTAAACAGTTTTTAACAAAGGGAAGGAATGTCAAAAGGAAAGTTACAACTAAGGCGTTAACACTTACCATTGGAGCACCGCGATGTCCGACGAGGGCAGGTTTTGGGGGAAGATTATTGGCAATGCATGGAGAGCAGATTGCAAGAGGACACAGGAACACAGCAGCAGACACTACCAGGAAGGTCAGCATTATAAAAACCTTACTAGCTACACAGACAAAGACATAAAAATATTCAGACACTCAGTACAAACACTGACATAATTGTAGAAATAAAGCATTATTAAAGGCATCACTGGTGCTAACTTTCACATTTACATAGACTGGTAATATTCATTTTAAGTTGTAAAGTACATTCTCAGTCAAAAACATTAATTGTGATCTGATCAGTTCCTGATGAACAAAATCAAGTCCCAACCTGCAATTTTTCTCATTTGAAAATCTGTTTCACTCATATATATACACGTCACAATAGGGAAGATCTGCGATTCATGCAGACTTTAACTATTAATATTAGAAGAGTACTTCATATATTATAAAGTAATATTATCATATATAATATAACTGTAAAAAGCTGAATGTTTTTGTACATTGTAATTTTTAGCGTAAGCTTTAAGATAATATACAGGTCCAATTCTAAAATTATTTAATTTAAATCTATTTTTAATGTCTATGTTTTTATCTGTTTGGTGAATAGCAATGTAATAAGCAAGATAATGTGCAGTCAGAAAATGTTCAACTTTAAGGTACTATAAGCTGTTTTGGAGGCACTGACCAGCTGTTTGAGCTGTATGATAACTCTGGAACACCAGCCAACTGATCAAGGTCAAAGCCACCACAGCACCCAGCTGCAGGAAAGGAGCAGTGGCCTATGGGAAACAAAAGAGCGGATTTTAATACACTGTACAGTACAACAATAATGGTGTAACTGGAGATATGGACACCTGAGTGACATTTTTGTGATAAACACAGTATAATATAACATTAAGCTGAGGGATATGCTTGCTATTGGTGTAAAATATCACACTGCCATTTAGACTAGATAAGCTAACAGGAAATACAATGAGAACCAGCTGCAAAGACATAAAAGACAGACAATGTGCCAATACTGAAATGATAAATGGTTGAAGGCTGGTTTCGGCTTTTTACCTGAAATGACATATAGACAGCTTGCCACTCCTCTATCCATTCTTTACAAAATCCAGCTGTGCCTAAAGTAACAGTGAGCAGACCCAAAAACAGAAACACCTGAACAGAGAACAGAGAATTATTAACATACCGAGATCATTCATTAACAAGCTGTGAACTTTCTTCCTTTATGCACCATGACTAAAAATGATATAAATTGTTACCAAAGTTTTAAAGTTACCCAATATGAGACTGTTTCCTCAACTATGAGCACTGAGGTCTTTTTAAAGCTAATTTTATAGTCAGCTTTTTATGTATCCTAATGCATACATTTACATAACATTAAGCTTAACAAGTAACTTTTCAAATAAATTTATTATGGACAAAATTATTTTCACTGTGGTGAAAATGAGTTGTGGAACAGCCATACTTGTGTTAAAAAAATTAAAAATTTTATATGAAAATATTAAAACTTGATTCACTCTTTTTGGGTTTTCATAGTTTTAAAATTATTGCTTTAATTATATTTTCATAATTGACTTTAAGATAGACAGCCTGTGTCTGGGACAGGGGCGTTTCCTCCAAGGAGGCAAGGGAGGCATGCCTCCTCAAAATATTGGATGAGAACAAAATTCATAGTACAAAAATGAAACAATGACAATATTACAAAATATAACATTAAAAAGTGTATAAATCACTCGTTTTTCCAAAGAAACATTGTCCAACAGCAGGTCTCTCTCGCCTCCCCTGAGCCCATTGAGTTTTAACAGACCTACTAAAGCGTGCGTTGAGTTTTGGGAAAGTCATGTGAGAGGAGGCAATGCCTCCATCGCGATATGATTGGATATGACTGGTTATGATCGGCTGTGATTGTAAACAACTCACACACTTCGATATAACCACTTTGTTACGTCAAAATATGACTTAAATGGCCTGAAAACATGATCTGTGTGAGTTTTTAGTGAGAAATCAGGTTGGTGACATTTACAGTAAATCTCCGTGACTGTGACCAATATTTACTGAGCTTTGATGACTGATGATCCGAAAAATTCAAAAAACAGTTCGACTGTTTAATAGTTAACAAATTAACTATTAAAAAGAATAGCTGAACATGAGTTCACAAATAAAATGTATTGCTTAAATTGTTACTGCCTTGAGTTATTATTTTGGAATAAATGTAAAATGCTTAAAAACATAGTAGATTCATACTTGGCATTAATAAATAGAATATTGATTACAATGTTAATGTAAAAATATAAAATATAAATATAAAAATTTGTATATACCATACCACTGCTATACATAAAATAATCTATACATAGAAGGCATTTAAGTAGTAGCAAAAATACATTTGAAAAATTATTTAAAAATAAATTAATTTTAAAAAGTCTCAATGCAATTTCAAGTTGAAAGGGTAAAGAGTACCTTATGCAGCCAGTGTAAATCCAAGGGCTCTCTGACTGCTAAGTGTAGCAATCCAAATACCTGAAATAAAAGAATGAACTCATTGGTACAACCATTACATGCTACCAGCCATACAACCAGCTGGATCACATTCTCTCTTCTTACCAGTAGAAGGAGGCAGTATGTGGCCAGCACGGCAGAAACGACCATCACTATCATGTACCAGTTCACCCATTTTTTTAATGTTTTGAAGGCATGCCTGCATGAAGAAAATGAAGCAATATGGCAGAACGACACAACCAGGTATTACATGTAAATTTGGAAAAACTGGGCCAATGGATTTACAATGTGGTCATATAATTATCATGCGTTTAATTGTGTTTATGTGCTCACCCGTTTACATCATTGTGGTCGTTGAAGGCAATTAAACAAACGTACATCCAAATCAGGGCAAGTATGGACACAAAAGACAGAAAGGAGAGCCAGCAGCAAGCCCTCTATATATAAACAAAGCAAGAATGCACACTTCAAACATCTTTCTTCTTTTTCAGTCAGGTCTTCTCTTTGTCATATTTACTGACACTAACAAATGCATCAGCACTAAAAAGAAGAAAAAGTGTATTCATAACTTTCCCTCACTGCTCCACCTTTGTGCGTGTGAGGATTTAAAGTCATAGGTTAACCACAAATGGGTTAATTGTGTGTGTGTGTGTGGGGGGGGATTGGCACACAGCCATGGCCTTCTCATGTTGAGTTTCGCCTACTGATCCGAATATTCAAAAGTGAGGCCAATCTCCAATCTGAGTGGTTACTATAATTATTACGATTATTACGAGTCCATCCCACACAGGGTTTACGAAATCTCTGAATGCAGCGGTAATGGTTTCTGACACAAATCAAAAGAATTCAGAGCCTTGCTTTTGTATTCAGGCTACTAATTAACATACTTTTCTGCCTGTCATGATCATCAGTCTTCACAGCTTTGTACTCACTTAAAAGGAAAGAGCATTTACATGATAATTGTTCATTAAGGAGGCATTCAATTACAACAATTTTCTTTGATTCTTTTCTACATTTATTAGACATGGTAAACTAGTCTGCCTCTCTCAACTGATTGTGTCTGCAGATTCTAAGAGATAACGGGTACATCATTGATGTGCAACTTCATTTTCCAATGTGGAAAAATGTGATTAAAAATGCAAAGTGTAAAGAATAAAATCCCACGTTTGGTCTTCTATTTTGACTGTTCCAATGACAGCTGTAGATTCCTCTGAGGCAGGATCGGGAGATCGAGAGCATCGTGTTTTTTCCGCGTCAAATGATTCCAGCTGAATGTATGCAGATGAATGGGGGTCTCGTCCGGTACGTAGTGAGGTTAACTAATTTATACTGCAGGTGTTTGATATGGAATGACTCACTTCTTCACACCTGAAACTAGTAGGAGGGAAGAGAATACAAGATGGTGGTTATGCAAGGAAACCTGTTCGTTTTGCTCAAAGCAGAACTGAGCTCACAATGCCTGGTTTAGTTAGTTAAAAGTCCTTGAATTAGGGTGAGAGAGAGAAAAATATAGGCGATGTGACTCCAGTCACATGACACAACAGGTATGGAAAGGTTACATTTAATTATGGAGTGTCTATGCTTTCAAAAGCCCTGAAGCAGAAAACTACAAGACAACCTGTGGGAAGGATCTCATATCAATCACTCATTTCTAATAAAAGGACAGAATGTTCTTTCCCAACTCAAGTTAACTGCTACTGTTGTGTAAATGATAAATATGTATTAAAATATAACCTGTTTTACTACATCCGATAATCAAATGTTGCCTTATGGAACAGTAATTTGAGTGTCTTACTGTAAATTGTATGAACAACTGACATGAGATATTAAAGCTTATTCTGAGCAAGTAAAAAGGCCTTTCCCCTGTTTTGACAGGTTGTGCATAACATGAAATATAATCCGCAATGTTATGAAGACTTTGTTCCTGTGGAGGTTAATTATTTTTTTTATTTTTTTTTTAAGTTTTCCAGGTTCAATGCTGGACACAGGAATAAATAACATTTTAAAATATATTAAATTAGAAATTAGTTACATTTGTGTGGATAATTCTGCAGTGGCAACCCCTAACGAGAGCAGCCGAAGGAGAAAAAGGTCTTTTGGATCAAATAAATGCAGCTTTGCTAAGCATAAGAGACACAATATGTCCATTAGTGCTTCTCAAAT